TACAAGTGTGTGCCACCACACTTGGCAGTCTTTATATTTTAATATTAATCTATTTTATTGTATTTTTATTTTATTTGGTACCAGGGATTGAACTTTTGACTTTGCGCTTGCCAGTCAGGTGCTTATGGCACTGATCTAAATCCCCAGCCCCATAATATTAACCTAGTAATTAATAAGTTTTAGAAAATTCATGTTCTCTTTTAAAGTAACTCCTCTACTTTCAACCAATCGTTATAAATACATCTTTCTATCTGTCGGTTCTCTTAAAGCTGGCTGGTTATACAGACTAAAATAGTGGTAAAAATCTCATTACAGGGGTTGGGGATTTAGCTCAGTAGCATAAGTGCCTGCCTGGCAAACACAAGGTCATGAGTTCCATCCCGGGTACTGCAAAAAAGGAAAAAGAAAAAAAAAATCTTGTTACATATCAGGGTGTGGGGGCTGGGGATTTAGCTCAGCGGCATAAGCACCTGCCTTGCAAGCAGGCAGTCGCAAGTTCGATCCCCGGTACCGATAAAAAAAAAAAAAAAAGAAAAAGACAAAAAAAAAATTAAAAAAAAAAAAAAAGATGCTAAGGTAGAAGGACTGCAGCCAATGTGGGCAACTTGGCAAGACCACACTCAAGATGAAGTTAAATAAAGAAGGGGGAAGAACAGCCAGGCGTGGTAGCAGACACCTGTAATCTCAGCACTGGGAAGGCTGAGCCAGGAGGACAGTGAGCGCAAGGCCAGCCTGAACTACAAGGGGGAAAGAGTGCTGATGATGTAGCTCGGAGTTCTGCTTCAATCACCAGAACTGCAAAGCAGAAAAAAGAAAAGGCTGCTGAGGCATGTTGGGTGCATGTAAATCCAGCTACTTGGGACTCAGGAGGCCATAAAGCAGAAGGATCAGAAATTAGAGCCCAGCCTGGACAATGAATTTAGTAACCTAACAAAACCCTGAATAAATAAAGAAGTATAACTTGGAATGTAGCTATTGCAAAGACTCACATTTCAAACACCAATACTGCAAAAACAAAACCAAAAAAAAAGGCCAAATGAGGGACACAAAAACACTCACTGTTAATCTACAATGGGGTAAGAGCTAAATATTAAAAACAACAAAGAATGGGCTGTAGCTCAGCAGCACAGTGCCTGCCTGGCAAGCACAAGGTAATGAGTTCGATTACCGGTACCAAAAACAACAAAGAAAAATGATTGAAAACAGGGACTAAACAAAAACAATTTGAGACAATACTGTAAGCATGACAAAGAATGGGGTGATAAAAAACAACTAGCTTGGGGCTGGGGATTTAGCTCAGCGGCATAAACACCTGCCTTGCAAGTAGGTGGTCGTGAGTTCGATCCCTGGTACCGATAAAAATGAAAAAGACAAAAAAAAAAGTAAAAAAAAACAAAAAAAAAAAAAAACAAAAAAAAAACAACTAGCTTGGTAATTATTTCTTATTTTGTTAACGTCAAAGTAGAAATGACAAACCATGATGATATATGATTATAATTCCAGCTACCCAAAAGCTGAGGCAGGGGGATTGCAAATTCAAAGTCAACCTAGGCAACTTTGGGATCCTGTTAGTTTGTGTCTAAATGTCCCCCAATAGCCTCATGCAGTCATAGAGCGTGGCTTTTTGGAAGTGGCTGGCTCTAGAGTTTGTGATCAATTCATGGTCCAATGCTAGGATTAAGGATGTTGAGTCTGCATCTGTCCTATGTGTGGGTAGCCTGCATACAATATAAGGCATAGAAAGAGATCTGTCTTTTTTTCTTGGTACCGGGGACTGAACTCACCTTGCGCTTACCAGGCAAGCGCTTGAGGCACTGAGCTAAATCCCTGGTGAGGTTTGTCCTTTGCTTGCCTTGTTGCTTTTGCTGTTTTCCAATACCATGAACTGTTGCCCTCTGCTTTATACCACCTTGCCTTGGAACCAGCTGATTACAGACTGAAACCTCTACAAATGTGAGCTTAAATAAACTTTTCCACCCTTACTGGGGGGGGCAGATATTTCGTCTCAGCAACGAGAGACCGTATCTCAAAATAAAAAAGGGCCAGGGGGCGGAGATATATAGCTCAGCAGCACAGTGCCTTCCTGGCAAGTGTGAGGTCGCGAGTTTTTTGTCTTTTTCCTTTTTATCGGTACCGGGGATCGAACTCACGACTGCCTGCTTGCAAAGCAGGCGCTTATGCCGCTGAGCTAAACCCCCAGCCCCCCAGTGATGACAACTCTTAAGTCAACTGAACCCTTTTTGCTTTTTAAGAATGGTTTTTGTTTTATATCGCAATGTTTAAAAAGACTGCGCGCGGGGGGCTGGGGATTTAGCTCAGCGGCATAAGTACCTGCTTGCAAGCAGGCGGTCGTGAGTTCAATCCCTGGTACCGATAAAAATGAAAAAGACAAAAAAAAAAAAAAAAAAAAAAAAAAAAAAGACTGCGCGCAAGGTAAGGAGCGGGAGACTGAGGCAGGAAGGTTGGAGCTGGCCAGGGGCCACCCGCCAAATGTCACCCGGGGGTGCGCGTGGGCGGGGGCAAAGCTTCAGCGCTTGGCTGGCGGTTGGTCCTGCGCTGGCGGTTGGTCCTGCTCGCGGCTAGCAGGACCCCCTAGGTCTCGAGGGACGGATTCTAAACCACTGCACGTTGCCCAGGAGACCCCAGTGATGGCACTGTGGACTCGCCTGTATGGCCGCGTCCTGGAAAGCTCTAAGGTAAGTGGGGCCAGAACTTGTACAGCACCCGGTGAGGTGCTAGAAATCATCGTGGTCAGGTGTGCAGTCGCGGGGATCTCTTGCTGGAGGGTCGCACCTGCCTGGGGTACTACCTGGAAGTCTTCAGCGATCCCTGTCGCCCTCATTAGGCCCGTCTGTCTATGTGACACACTTAATAGCCTCTCATGATCGTACCTCTCACCTTTCCTTCCTAACCATTCTCCACTGTACTGAACTGCTGTATTTCCATTGTGAAGCCTTCTTTTTTTTTTTTTTTTTTTTTTTTTTTTTGTCTTTTTCCTTTTTATCGGTACCGGGGATCGAACTCACGACTGCCTGCTTGCAAAGCAGGCGCTTATGCCGCTGAGCTAAACCCCCAGCCCCCGAGTGATGACAACTCTTAAGTCAACTGAACCCTTTTTGCTTTTTAAGAATGGTTTTTGTTTTATATCGCAATGTTTAAAAAGACTGCGCGCGGGGGGCTGGGGATTTAGCTCAGCGGCATACGGTCGTGAGTTCAATCCCTGGTACCGATAAAAATGAAAAAGACAAAAAAAAAAAAAAAAAAAAAAAAAAAAAAGACTGCGCGCAAGGTAAGGAGCGGGAGACTGAGGCAGGAAGGTTGGAGCTGGCCAGGGGCCACCCGCCAAATGTCACCCGGGGGTGCGCGTGGGCGGGGGCAAAGCTTCAGCGCTTGGCTGGCGGTTGGTCCTGCGCTGGCGGTTGGTCCTGCTCGCGGCTAGCAGGACCCCCTAGGTCTCGAGGGACGGATTCTAAACCACTGCACATTGCCCAGGAGACCCCAGTGATGGCACTGTGGACTCGCCTGTATGGCCGCGTCCTGGAAAGCTCTAGGGTAAGTGGGGCCAGAACTTGTACAGCACCCGGTGAGGTGCTAGAAATCATCGTGGTCAGGTGTGCGGTCGCGGGGATCTCTTGCTGGAGGGTCGCACCTGCCTGGGGTACTACCTGGAAGTCTTCAGCGATCCCTGTCGCCCTCATTAGGCCCGTCTGTCTATGTGACACACTTAATAGCCTCTCATGATCGTACCTCTCACCTTTCCTTCCTAACCATTCTCCACTGTACTGAACTGCTGTATTTCCATTGTGAAGCCTTCTTTTTTTTTTTTTTTTTTTTTTTTTTTTTTTTTTTTTGTCTTTTTCCTTTTTATCGGTACCGGGGATCGAACTCACGACTGCCTGCTTGCAAAGCAGGCGCTTATGCCGCTGAGCTAAACCCCCAGCCCCCGAGTGATGACAACTCTTAAGTCAACTGAACCCTTTTTGCTTTTTAAGAATGGTTTTTGTTTTATATCGCAATGTTTAAAAAGACTGCGCGCGGGGGGCTGGGGATTTAGCTCAGCGGCATACGGTCGTGAGTTCAATCCCTGGTACCGATAAAAATGAAAAAGACAAAAAAAAAAAAAAAAAAAAAAAAAAAAAAAAGACTGCGCGCAAGGTAAGGAGCGGGAGACTGAGGCAGGAAGGTTGGAGCTGGCCAGGGGCCACCCGCCAAATGTCACCCGGGGGTGCGCGTGGGCGGGGGCAAAGCTTCAGCGCTTGGCTGGCGGTTGGTCCTGCGCTGGCGGTTGGTCCTGCTCGCGGCTAGCAGGACCCCCTAGGTCTCGAGGGACGGATTCTAAACCACTGCACATTGCCCAGGAGACCCCAGTGATGGCACTGTGGACTCGCCTGTATGGCCGCGTCCTGGAAAGCTCTAGGGTAAGTGGGGCCAGAACTTGTACAGCACCCGGTGAGGTGCTAGAAATCATCGTGGTCAGGTGTGCGGTCGCGGGGATCTCTTGCTGGAGGGTCGCACCTGCCTGGGGTACTACCTGGAAGTCTTCAGCGATCCCTGTCGCCCTCATTAGGCCCGTCTGTCTATGTGACACACTTAATAGCCTCTCATGATCGTACCTCTCACCTTTCCTTCCTAACCATTCTCCACTGTACTGAACTGCTGTATTTCCATTGTGAAGCCTTCTTTTTTTTTTTTTTTTTTGTCTTTTTCCTTTTTATCGGTACCGGGGATCGAACTCACGACTGCCTGCTTGCAAAGCAGGCGCTTATGCCGCTGAGCTAAACCCCCAGCCCCCGAGTGATGACAACTCTTAAGTCAACTGAACCCTTTTTGCTTTTTAAGAATGGTTTTTGTTTTATATCGCAATGTTTAAAAAGACTGCGCGCGGGGGGCTGGGGATTTAGCTCAGCGGCATAAGTACCTGCTTGCAAGCAGGCGGTCGTGAGTTCAATCCCTGGTACCGATAAAAATGAAAAAGACAAAAAAAAAAAAAAAAAAAAAAAAAAAAAGACTGCGCGCAAGGTAAGGAGCGGGAGACTGAGGCAGGAAGGTTGGAGCTGGCCAGGGGCCACCCGCCAAATGTCACCCGGGGGTGCGCGTGGGCGGGGGCAAAGCTTCAGCGCTTGGCTGGCGGTTGGTCCTGCGCTGGCGGTTGGTCCTGCTCGCGGCTAGCAGGACCCCCTAGGTCTCGAGGGACGGATTCTAAACCACTGCACATTGCCCAGGAGACCCCAGTGATGGCACTGTGGACTCGCCTGTATGGCCGCGTCCTGGAAAGCTCTAGGGTAAGTGGGGCCAGAACTTGTACAGCACCCGGTGAGGTGCTAGAAATCATCGTGGTCAGGTGTGCGGTCGCGGGGATCTCTTGCTGGAGGGTCGCACCTCCCTGGGGTACTACCTGGAAGTCTTCAGCGATCCCTGTCGCCCTCATTAGGCCCGTCTGTCTATGTGACACACTTAATAGCCTCTCATGATCGTACCTCTCACCTTTCCTTCCTAACCATTCTCCACTGTACTGACCTGCTGTATTTCCATTGTGAAGCCTTCTTTTTTTTTTTTTTTTTTTTTTTTTAGCTGTAAACTTAAGTTAGGTTGACTGAACAACCACTGCAGTCCTTGAAAAACATCTCTCTTGAGCCATAGCAAATCCAATTCCTTTCTGTGTTCACTAAATTAAGCCCAAGAATTCAGGCAGGCCTTCCCAGGAGCTGACTGCACACAGTCAATAAGATGTAAGATGTAAGATGCCTGTTGGATTTTGTACTTGTCAGTTTTCCTGGCTGTATACTGCTTCTGTGCTTTTCCTGAAAAAGGATTGAGTGGAATGGGCCCCTACCAGGAAATAGAAAAAAACTAGGTAACAGAAGCGCACTTGTTTTCAAAACTAAAAAGTTTGCTTTTGCAAACAAAACCTCACATGGTTTGCTCTATTCTTTATAGGAGAAATAAGTAGCTCTCTTTGGGCCTTACATCTTCCCAGCGTTGTTGTCTTCTTTAGTGTCTTCATGTGGTGGCTTTCTGCATTTAATGGGTGCCTGGGTGTATCTTCACAGAGTATTTGCATCCAAAGAATAACAGATCTGTGAATAAAGAGATTGTCAGCTTTCCTTTATTAGCTACAGATACTCATAAAGTTGTAGATTTGTGGGAACCTGTATTTTCCGTATAATGACTAGTCCTGTGTTTTTGTTCCAAAATGATGTGTGAGGTGATGCCCACCATCAGTGAAGAAGGCCCTTCAGGAGGAAGTGAAAACCATGGATCTGGCTGCCCTTCACAACCAGATGCAGATTCCCATTTTGAACAGCACATGATGTCCATGCTAGAAGAAACAGACATTGCTCAGAGCACACTGATAGAGACTCAAGAAACATTGGCGTTGACCCAGGGGAAATTACTCGAGGTTGGTCATGAGAGAGATTCGTTGCAGAGACAACTCAATACTGCGCTTCCACAGGTATGTGTGGTTTTCACCTGAAACTACAGGTTTTTTCTGTTACGTGTCTTTCTGTGGTACCATCTTTTGTTTTTGTACCTGTATATTTTGTGTAACCAACCACTTGTCAAATGATAGTTCCTAGTGTTTGTAAGCGCATGCAGAGTTCCTGGGGATTCAGCTACTTAGGGCAAACAAACTAGTGTTCTGTAAAGTCATGTGAAAATATCTTACTACTTTCACTCTTCGCTGAGGAACTGCTAAAGATTTGGGAATGCACTTTGAAGGTTTTTTAAAAAGACTTGAAACAACAACCAAGCGGCATGGTCCTTGGTTTCTTTGATTCTGTTTTGTGAGATCTCTTGCTTAATGTAGGCTTCCCATGGCTTGTATCTCAGGAATTGTATGTGTGTTTAGGATTGTATCTCAAGGATTTGCAGTTTTCTAATGAAATTTAGTAGATAATAATTTTTTTTTTGTTTTTGGTATCAGGAATCGAACTGAGGACCTTGCTCTTGCCAAGCAGATGCTTGTTGCTGCTGAGATATTATCTCTAGCCCTTGAAATTTGGTAGACAAGGATTGATTTCACAGAGAAAAATTTTTACAGACGATCTTTACAGAATACCGGTGTTTGTAAATCACATTTGTAATAAGGGATAGAAAACTGGAAATTTATTCTTTAGGAACTTTCTCCTTTTAGACTAGACTTCTAAGTTTAAAACAACTGGGCTGGGGATTTAGTTCAGCAGCATAAGCTTCTGCCTGGCAAGCATAAAGTCATGAGTTTGATCCCCAGTACCAAAAACAAATATATAAAAGTAAAAACCACCTCAAAGTTGGAAACAACTGTAGTTCTTTCTTTAATTATATTGCATTCAGCCCAGTATCTCAAAACTGCCTCTTGTGGAATTAAATGGAGACTGAATGGCATGCAAAAGGGAGAACATAGTAAAACTAGAAAAATGTAAGGTAAATGGTACACAGCATAGTGGGAGATAAGTAGCTTATTATTTAGGTATTTATAAGCCATCGAGTACCATTTTACTTGTTCATAATAGTTGCCTTTCTGGTCCATTCAGGTAGACCTGAATAAGCATACATCTATGCTGTCATGATGAGTCTGCAGTGATAAATCGGCAAATGAACACTAGCCCTAATGTATTTGTTGGCTATAGTCAATTCTCCTGAAAGATTAATAAGCCAAGCATTTGAATTTCCTTTTTAGAAACAATAATTTGATGTTAGTGCTATATGTTTCTTTTGTTGGTTAGAGAATCAGTAAATTGTTTGCTTTTGTGGAGCATAGGGTTGAAGGAGGGCTTCATTTGTGTTTGCCTAAGTGCTCTGTCACTGAGCTCCATCCCTCCTAGTCACATTAAGATTTTTCTCATTGGAATCTTATAAATGTCAGAGTTTATTTAGGTCAGATTTTACTATAGAAGATTATAAGAACTGGCCAACTTGTATTTGTGTAGGGAGGTAATGGGGAGCAGTTTATGTGAAGGATTTTATAGTATATACAGGTATTTGTAAATTTGTGATGGTTTAGTTTTGTTTTTGTAATATATTGACTATAATTTGAGATATATCTACAGTTTATCTAATACATAGTTAATCTATTCAGTTTTTGGAAAAAACAGGCAGGCAGGACCTGAGAGGGAAGTGACAGGAGTTTTGTAGAGTTGGTTTCAGGCAGTGGGTGTTGTCACACCTGCTGATGAGGTGGTTGCCTGGTGATTTGTTTCTGGGGGGTTCTCAGTGTAGCAGCCTGGAAATGCTTAGTTTAGTGCATAATGTGATGATGCCACCAGGTCCCGTCACCATCTGAGCACCTGATGCAGCATTTCAGAAACACAGAAACCATGAAACAAACTTGTTTTGGTCCTTTTCCTTTCCTGGAATCAGGCTCATCTTTGGTAGTTGTTTGACTAGAGAGGCCTGTCAAGTAAGTGCCCGGTGTACTTTTGGCACATTAGGTAGGCAGGTCAGAATGTGCCCTACTTCTAAAAATGGAAGTAAAAGGCTGGGCATGGTAGTGCATTCCTGGAATCTTCAACCCTTAGGGAGGCCAAGGCAGGAGGATCAAAAATTTGAGCCCAGCCTGAGAAACTTAGCAGTTGTCTTAAATAAAAAATAAAAAGAGAGCAGAGAATGCTCCTCAGAATGAAGGCCCCCAACTATAGCAAATATCAGAAATCTTCTCAGCGAATTTTCCATAGAGCCAACACACTTGAGAAACAGTTCCTACATCAAAATGAAACACTGGAAGCCCCTGCCTAGTTTCCAGTACAGGTGTTTCTCATTTAATTACCTGCTTAATAACTGTTTGGACTTCCCTGCTGCTCAGACTTATGCCTCCTCTTTTTTTGTTTTTTGTAAAGTTCTGCACATCTGGTTCAGAGACTCTCAATGGTTTTTTTTTTTTTTTTTTTTAGTTTGTAATGTTTATACAGTACTATACTTTTTCTGATGGTACTCTATGGTACTGTAGTTTCATGTTCTGTTGTACATTATATACTGCATAGAAGTTGTGCAAATAAAGGCAAAGTCATCAAGTTGGAGTTTCCTTTGACCATTTCTTTGTGCTGAGTGTTGTAATGTATGTACTATATACAGCTCCTCATTTAGCAACTAATTCTTTTAACGCTGTACTGACAGGAATAGGACTTGGTGGTTAAATGAGGAATCCTTGTACCTTTCCTCCAATTCTAACAATGGTCTTGATCTCTCACCATTGATTATTTTTGCTTCTTCTTGACTAAATGAAGTAAAATAGTACCTATATTGTGTTTCTTGGTTGTTTCATTGTTCATGAGATTTACCTGTGTCCTATATTTTTTGCCTATTCTCATCTGTTGTCTGGTAATCCAGCATACCAATATATCAAAATTTGTTCTTTTCTATTCATGAACATTCAGGTTGATTCCAGTTTTTATCAATTCTATCCTGAGTATTCTTGTGTATTATTTCTTTTGTGTATGAGAGTGAAGCTATGGCTGAGCATGGCGGCATATGCCTATAAACTCAGCAGGGCAGAATGTTGAGGCAAGAAGACTGCGAGTTTGCGCCCCTCTTGGGCTTTATACTGAGAACCTGTCTTTTTTGGGGGGCGAGGTAATGGGACTTGAACTCAGGACGTTGTGTTGCCAAACAGGAGTTGTGCCACTAAGCTATATCCCTGGCCCTCGGATCCTTTAAAAAAAAAAAAAAAAAAAGCAGAGAACTGTGGAGTGATAGATATCCCATGCATTTGTTCAGCCTTAAGAGATATTGCTAAAAGTGGCATTGTACTGACACCAACAGCATGTGAGAAGTCAGTGCGCATATCATCTTTACCCCTGACACTGTTCATTCTTTTTTTTTTTTTTTAAACTGGTACCAGGGCTCGAACTCATGACCACCTGCTTCAAGGCAGGCACTTATGCTGCTGAGCTAAATCCCCAGCCCCCATTGTTTATTCTTTTATGTTAGCTTTTCTGGTGCCTATTTAATGGGAGAGGTGACTTAGTGAGAGAGGTACCAGAGATCGAACTCACGACTACCTGCTTGCAAGGCAGGTGCTTTTGCCACTGAGCTAAATGCCCAGCCCCTTATCATGTATTTCATGTATTTCTTTAGCATTGCTACTTCTTCATCTGAGAAGGGTCTGTTCATTTTTGATGCCCATTTTTTGAATTTGGGGGTGGTTCTGTATTTTTGAGCTCCTTATATATTTTAGGCATTAATCCTTTGTCTGAGGAACAGCTGGCAAAAATGTTTTACCATCGCGTGGGTTGTCTCTTCACTCTCTTGGTAGTTTCTCTTGCTTTTCAAAAGATTTTGAATAAGATGCAGTCCAAGTTGTTGATTATTTCTGATAGAAGCTTTGCAATTGGGGTTTTTTTCCATGAGATCTTTGCCTATACCAAAGTCTTCAGTTCTACCTGTCTTCCAGCAGATTGGAGTTGTTTCTATTTTCATATTGAAGTCTTTGAGCTATTTGGATTTTAGCTTAATGCCTGGGAAGGGATATGGGTCTAGTTGTAATCTTTGGCATGTGGAAAGCCAGTTTTTTCCAGCACCATTTCTTAAAGAAGCTATCTTTCTTCCAGTGAGTATGTTTGGCTCCTTTGTCAAAGATAAGATGATTGAGTATGCTGGAGTTGTTTCTACATCTTAAAATCTGTTCCATTGATCCTTGAGTCTGGTTGTTTTGTTTTGTTTTGTTTTGTTTTGCCAGTTTTTATCACAATAACTTTGTAGTATAATTTGCAGTCAAGGATTGATTGGATTCCTTTCTGGTTTTGGTATCAGGATAATACATGCTTCCAGGAATGAATTTGGGAGTATGGCTTCTCTTTCAATTTCTTAAAAGAGACTGAAGTAGTAGTATTAGGTTTTCTCTAAATTTCTTGTGGTGTTCAGCAGTGAATCTGTCAGGGCCTAGGGTTTTCTTTATTGATGGGTTTTTAATTACATCTTCACTTTCACTGACAGATACTGATTTATTTAGAATTTTTATACCTTCTTGATTCAGCTGTGGTAATTCATATGTAACTAGGAATCTGTCTATTTCTTCTTTGTTTTCTATCTTACAATACACATTCTCAAAGTAGGTTTGGTTTTGAGGATCTTCTGAATATCTGTAGGGCTTCTTGTGATTTCCACCTTTTGATTCCCAATTGTATGTGTTTGGGTCTTTTTTGTTTTTAATAAGGTTGGCTGAGAGTTTGTCAAGTTCATTTAATGTAACACAGAACTCTTTGTTTCATTGATTCTTTGTATTATTTTGTTAGTCTCCATTGCTTTAACTTCTGCTCTGTTCTCTATAACATCCTCCTTTTTACAAGCTTTAGGCATGACCTGCCCTTGATCTAAAAGCTTGAGGTTCAACAGTAGGTTATTTGAGCTTGCTCTGTTTTTCAGCTATGGGTATTCAGTGCTGTAAATTTCCCTCCTAGGACTGCTTTCATTGTGTTCCTTATGTTCTGTTACAATGTATTGGCATTATCATTTAATTATAGATACTATTTAATTTCA